CCCCGCCCCCTTTAACGCACCCTCCCTGGAGTCCCCTGCACGGCGTTGGTCTGTGGCTGGCCCTGGTCCCCGAGCATCTCACTAGCCTGAGTGATTGCGGGTGAGCCGGGGCCGAGGACGTTGCCTGGAGGGTGCGGCCCCTGTTGGAAGCGGATTGGAAAGGAACGCAGCTTGAACTCAGGGAACTGGCCCCCTGCCTCTACCGAGGTGGTCCTCAGTTTCCCCATCTGCACATGGAAGAGGCTGGGGCCCAGTAGTTTCTGTCGCCAGCCAGTTTACAGAAGAGGAAACTGAGGCTCGGACAGTGGGCCCTGAATCGCTCAGCGAGCCGGTGGAGCGACGCCGGTTCTCCCGGACTCCTTCCTGCCTCTCACCCGCCCGTTTGCCGCTTTCGTCTCCCAGCCCCGCGCCATGGCGTCCCAGGGTCGTCGGCGGAGGCTGCCGCGAAGGTCAGGGACGATGGTGACGGGGGAGGCGGCCGAGACGGACTCGGAGCCCTCTGCGTCCTCTTCCTCGGAGGAGGAGCTGTACCTGGGCCCTTCGGGCCCGACGCGCGGCCGGGCCACCGGGCAGCGCATCGCGGGGGAGGCTGCGGAGACCGACTCGGACGCGGAGCCCGAGCCCACGGCCGCGCCCTCGGACCTGCCTCCGCTCGTGGTGCAGCGGGAGTTGCCCGGGGAGGCCTGGGCCGCGGAGGAGGCCCCGGCGCCTGCGCCCGTGCGCTCCCTGCTGCAACTCCGACTGGCCGAGAGTCAGGCGCGGCTGGACCACGACGTGGCGGCGGCCGTGAGCGGCGTGTACCGCCGTGCGGGACGCGACGTGGCCGCCCTGGCCGGGAGGCTGGCAGCCGCCCAGGCGGCGGGCTTGGCCGCGGCCCACAGCGTGCGCCTGGCGCGAGGGGACCTCTGTGCGCTGGCGGAGCGCCTGGACATCGTGGCTGGCTGTCGCTTGCTCCCGGACATCCGCGACGTGCCGGGGACTGAGCCGGAACAAGACCCGGGACCTCGGGCCTAGCCGAGACTGCCCTTCCTTATCAGACTCCCGGGGACCTGGCTGTCTGCGTGTCTCCCGGCACTCCATGCCTCCCCATTTTGATGACACCTGGGACCAACCTGGCCCACGTGGATGACGCTCTAGTTTCTTCTGTTGTGCAGACAGTGCTTGTAGGACTGGCACTGGATTCTGATCCGCCTCCCAGCTTGGGCCCAGCTTGTGGCAAATCTGGCCCAGCTTTCCACCCAGTGTTCACTGTCTTACCTTTATTTGTCCCCTGCCTTTCTGAATTTATCTCGGCCCACAGGTGCATGGGCCCTGGCATCCTCCTTTATGGCCTTGCTCACGCCTCCGGGAACACTGGGTTCTTTTTCTGCTCCTCACTGTGGCTTTGGTCCCTTTGGTTCCCTTTCTATCTCCTGGCTCCTCCTCCTCGGGTTTAGCCCCACCCTTTCTTCGTGGTCTTTCCTGAGTCCAGCTGCTCTGAGGATAGACTTTGTTTCGTTTCTTTGCCACCCTGCTTTTGCTGCTTTCCTGCTCAGGAGCTCTGGGTCGCCCTGTTTCCTTCCTCAGACCCCAGGAGGTTCCCTTCCTCCCGACCTCTTGGCCCAAGGTGGAATCTCTGCCAGACCCAGGAACTCTAGCCAAGGTGCTGCCACTCCTGATCTCTTCAAGGTACCTGGGCCCAGCTTTGCCCCACCTTGGGCACTTTTGGCAAAGTAGGACCCTGCTTCCAAAGAGCTACCTGCGTTCATGCTGCCATGTACCTGGATCTAGAGATGAACTCGGATCCAGCTCCAGGGCTGTGTGGCAGCCTCTTTCTGCACCTTCTTACCTGCATCTTTTGGTCCCAGCTATGGCCCCTCAGCCTCCGGGACATTTGTCACATTCACCTCAGGGGCAGAAGCAGAGATCTGAGCCTCCAGGATGGAGGGGAGGGAGGAGAGTTCTTTAGAGCAGACTCATTAAAACTCAGAACACTCCCCCTTGTGGTCACATTCTCTTGTCAGCTGCTTGAGCAGGGGTGGTTTGTCCCTGGATAGGGCTGAGGAGGTTTCCAGAAGGAGATGGGGACCTCACTGCACTTCCAGGATAGATTGTGACTTATGTCACAGAAAAGGATTACAGGTGCAGGGAGAGGCACAGAAAAGTTTATTAGGCAGGGGGCTGGTGAGATGGCTCAGTGGTCTAAAGCACCTACTTAGAACAAGCTTTAGCAAAACCCAGGGACCACGGTTGGATCCCCCAGCACCACATGCCAGCCAGCCCGCCCCCTGGTGGGCTGAGCTGGCCACACACACACATAAATAAATAAAATAAAATAAAAGAAAGAAAAGTTTATTAGGCAGAATTTATTTTTTGGCAGAACCAGGGATTGAACTCAGACCCTTGCACTTACCAGGAAAGCGCTTATTCTACTGAGCCATCTCCCAGGCCCCAATTAGGCAAAGTTGTAACAAGCAACACTGGACAGAGTGGGGCCCTGGGGAGAGGAGGGTTATGGGCTGGGTTGGGGTTTTTATGTGGTCTTGGGTTTTCCTCAGAGTGGGTGGTGTAGGATGTGTATTTCTGCTGTCAGGCCCCTCATTTGAGGAGCTCTGTTAAGATACAAACCCTTTGCATGTGTTTAGAATTTAGAGTGCTGCTGCCCACGTGTTGGTGCTGCCCCCTTGAGGACAGGGGTCTGGGAGGGAAAGCCGTGCCCTGGCTCACTGCATCTTTAAGACCCTTAGGATTTTGGGTGGGCCTCATGGAGCACACTTGTCATTGCAGCACTTGGGAGGCTGAGGCTAGAAGAGTGCTGTAAGCTCAAGGTCAATCTGCACTACATAGTGAGATCCTGTCCCTCTCCCAAGATGATTCATAGGATTTTTGTTTTTCAGTTTCCTAGAAGGGAACAGGGCATTGTAACCTTGGGTAAATTGTGCCCCACAGATACAGCTTTTCTCAAAAGGATAGTTGAGGGTGGGTGGGTTGAGATAGGGTCTTGCTATGTAGGCCAGGTGTGCCTTGGATTTGGGGATCCTTCTGCCTCAGCCTCTCAAATATTGAGATTATAGGCAAGTTTCTGTCTTTCTTACTTTTTGTGTTTTTGAGATAGGATCTCACTGTGTAGTGCAAGCTGGCCATAAACTCAACGTGTAGCCTCTTGAGTGCTGGGATTGCAAGTGTGCGCCATCACACCTGACTTCTAAAAAAGTACATTTCTATTTTTAAAATTTTATTTAAAAGTACTTAGAATGGCAATTTTCCACTTTTCTTTTATTTACTTATTTTTTGTATAGGGTCTCACTACGCAGCTTGGACCAGTGATCCTCCTGTTTTCAGCCTCTCCTTGTGCTGGGATTACAGGCGTGTGCTAGTGCGCCTGGGGGCTGGGCCAGCGCGGCATGCAGTACCAGGGAACTGTGGTCCCTGTGCCTGCCTAAGCAGGTGCTCAGTCCGCTGAGCTATCTTGCTGGCTCCCTTCTTTTCCTTTGGACCTATCTCTTCTAACTTTTTTTTTTTCTTTTTTTTGTGGTGTGGGGGATCAAACTCAGGCAAGAGCTTATGCCGCTGAGCTATATCCCAGCCCTGGATCTATCTCTTCTATCCTACCACAAGTTGGTAATTTGTCTGAGATTGGGGGGCAATCCTAAAACCACTACGCTAGGCTTACTGAAGATGAAATTATGGATGGCAAATCCCAGTCCCTCATTTTTGCCCTGCTTCTGCATTTATTTGTATTCAGTTAGTTCGGAATACATTTTTGGGTGTCCATCCTGGGCCGTGTGCTGGGGTGACAGTTGCCGGTGCCTGCCCTCACAATCCAGTAGGCGAGGCAGGCATCAATAAAGCAGAAATGGCCCTAACAATCATAACTTACAGTGTCAGTGTTTCAGGCACTAATATCAGAGCCCTAAGGAAGTCTATAGGACTTATAGGCTATAGGACTTTGGGGAGGCTGTGACAGGTTCTGTGTGACATGGTTTGGGGACTGGGCGGTCATGTGGCTTCCCTAGGAAGTAACAAGATCTGAACTGAGCCCAGGTGGTGTCAGTAGGAGTGGGCTGTAGGGGATTTGCAGGCAGGGGGTGGCATATGGAAAACACCTAAGCCAGAGGGGACGTGACACGACCCTGGGACAAAATACTTGAGGTAACAGGAAAGGATTATTTTTTGTTTGTTTGTTTGTTTTTTGTATTTATGGAAGGGTCTACAAAGTCTCACTGTGTAAATCAGATTCATAGTGATCCTCCTGTTTACAGCCTCCCAAGTGCTGGGATTACAGGCGCGTGCCACCACGCCCAGTCTCAATTGCCATGGCTGTGCACTCCGGGGGCGGGGCCGGCACACAGGCGGGGGATCGAACCCCCAGCCTCTGCATCTGCCTAAGCAGGTACTTTAATCTGCTGAGCTATTTGGCTGGCCCTTGAAAGGCTTATTTTGGCTTATAGTCTCAGAGGCTTCAGTCCACGGTCCTTGACCTGATGCCGGTGGGGCTGTAGTAGCGTAGGGCATCATGGGAGAGGCTTATGGTGAAGGAAACTGCCCAACTTGTGACAGCCAAAAGGTAAGAACAGAGGGAAGAGAAGGGGTCAAGTTCCCAAAATCCCCTGCAAGGGCACAGCCCCATGTGACCCAATTTCCTTACACTAGGTGCTGCCTCCTTATGGTTCTGCCCCCTCCTCCCTGCCTTGCCAGGTCTGAAGGTGACAGCATTGAGTCTGGTGGTCTGCTTGAGCCCCCACTGTGCTGCCTACATTCCCTGGAGACCAGGGGTTTGATGGTTTTCCTGGTTGCCAGTGTGGGTGGGAATGTGCCTCAGCTTGGATAGTTTCCACCAGTGTCACATTTCCAGTGGAGGGGCCTCTGGAGCAGGGGGCACCTCAGACCCCCAGGCTGTAAAGCCGGCAGAAAGGACTGTGACTTCCCGGACTCCGGGACTCCAGGGCCTATAAGGAAACCACTTGTTTGGAAACGCAGAAGAATTATTTTGAACCCATGTTTTCAATCCTTGATTAATTGATTGGTGTTTGGAGGTTTTTGTCCTTTTTTGTTTTTTCTTATTTTAAAAATCTATTTTTTCTTATAGTTATTTTCTCTTGCTTTCTTTTTTTTTTTTTTTCTGGGTACAATGGGCTTTATTGATGGTGTGCAAGGGCAGCGAGCCAGGGATCCCAAGGCCCTTTCCCTTCTAGGGGGCCTAGGATGGAAGCTGTGAGGGGGAGATTCTCAGTATCGGGGCTGAGTAGGGCAGTGACGACTTCTACAGCGTGGCCTCTCCATCCCTCTGGTCTCGCTGGGC